ACTGAAGAGGTAATGCAAATGAAAAGCCAAGGGGAGTTTTAGAAGGGTCCAAACAGTCGTACCACGTTAAAGCTTCCCAACAGTAACAACGTTAGTTAGCACACATGGCACTAGGTAAGCGGTACACAGTTCCTTCGCTGAGTTAGGGACAGAGACGGACCATGGCAGAGCCGTGACAATTAAAGTTAAATTAATATAAAAACTGCAACATAATTAAAGAAATTATACAAGAAATTAAAAATTTAAAGATATAAAGAAACTTAAGTAACCAAAGACTACAACAAAACACCACATTAAGACATGTTAACAGCTTTCTGCATCTAAAATTGTCTTAAAATACTGTAATTACTAGACAAGACAGAGGTTATTGACTACACACATACCAGCACCAAGCTCTAGTCTGCAAGTCAGTACCTTATTTTTCTTGATGAATGGCCATAACTTGCCCTTGGATTTGCCACCAAACTTCGGCTCAGACTTCCCATCCCCTCTGGAGTTGGAAAGGCTGGATTCGGAGATTGTCCGCTTCATTGGCTGTGTGAAGTCCTCAAAGTCAATATCTCCCGGAGGCTCGAACCCCGATTTAAAAGCTTCTATAACCATCTGGGAATCCTGAAATGGGACAGAACAAGTACAAGCATAAACATCTCTGATGAGGGCTGTCATCAAGTTGGCATAGGAAAACACTACAAGGACAACAAAGTCTGCCTGCGCAGAACCAATCTTAACAAGGACCAGTCTCGCTCCTGGGAACGAACACCCTTCCAGGGTCGAGGATCCACACAAGTCTCTCCACCTTCTGCGCCAAGATCAGGGCACTTTTCTTGGGCCTGTTTTCGCCATCATGCTATGCTTCAAAAAGAACACCTAGGCACAGCACAGGATCCTACCAAAACAAGGCTCTCCCCCGTGTGAAGTATAATACTCCCGGATACTGAAGTGATAAATACAGTTAAGAACACAACCACCATGCCACACAGAACAAAAGCTTCCAACCTATGTCAGTCAGGATCTGTTACAACTGGGAACATAAAGGCTGCAATCTCAGTTTCGTAACAGGTCTCTAAATAAGCAATCAGTCTGTGGAATTAAAGCAGGGAACTTTCGTCTCAAACAGTCCATTATTCTGTTATGAAACTCCAGCCCATTCTGCAAATCCATCTCTCAGACCAGTCATTACAGAAAATACCAACGGATAAGAAGCAGAGGACTATGGGCTACTTAGGGAAATAAAAACGACGTAACTATCATTGAAGCAGAGGTCATTGTAGTTAACTCGGGATGATGCTGAGGAAGAGTAAACTCGGGTCTCCTCACTCCAGCCTTCCACTGAGCTGCACAACCCTGAGTCTGCCCACAGCCCAGCAATGCTTTACTCCCCTCGCTTTGTTTCCAAGACAAAAATCAAAATCCTGACACAAACACCTTTTAAAGGTGTTTTCATGTCGACCGGTGCAGGTGACTAAGAGCCTGTTGTTACTAACTTCACTGACTAGAAAAGCAACGGTACTTCAGCAACTCAGCGGGCAGCTGAAGTGACTCACAACAAACATCTACGGCCCCGCATTGCCACCATGCAGCTGTCAGCAAAGGAGTGGAAAATCCCAGTAAATACTCCTCTACAAAGGAGTTCCAGTGATCACACTGCCATAAGTTGCCGAGCTGGTGCTTGTGAACTCAGCCACAGCAAGTGGCAGGAGTTTATCCTGGGAGCTTTACCCAACAGCCGAGCGGTCCAGGGTGACGCAGGCAGTGGCTGGGGGCTCCCCGCGCTGCCCTTAAAGCCACATTACCTTTCGGCACTGCCAGAAGTGCTAGGTGCTGGTCAGCCAGACACTGGATGTGGGCTTTGTCCAACAGGATTGCAATAAATCAGAGCAAGAACAATATCGAGCATTTTTTCCTAGTCAGGTCTACAAACACAATGAATTCTACCTAAGCTTAAATTGAGACCTCAGCTTGAAAAATGCATTTCAATCTAATGGACTCGGGGAAAAAATTGTAACAACATAGCTCTCATCTACCTGACAGCTTGGGAAGGGAGCTTTTTATGTTCTGCTGTTCAACCAGTTTTATTCTAAGATCATTAGAGAAACTGTGTCACAGCATACAAATAACTTACTAGTCTCTAGATAAGAGCATCACCAGCCTCAGCAGATAAAAAAAGATGAATTTGTGGCCTTGAAGGCATTTCACAGATTCTGCTTATGTCCGTAGGTAAAATGCTACTCATGGGAAATCTAGTGGGATATAAACATATCCAGAGGCCAGGCTCAACCGAGCAGCTCACAGATACAGGGAAAGCTTTGCAAAAGTCTTAGTGGGATTGGGAAGAAAATTAAGGTTGAAGGTCCTCAACCTATGAGATGCGCTGTGCAATTCCTACACAGGTTTTATAGTGAGGTGGAACACCACTGTCCATTATGTCATCCCAGTCTGACATTAAAACTCACTGAGATCTAAACATTTGAAGAGATTTTTAATAAGATTCATGAAAGCAAGATGAAGGAGGGAGAGAAGTCACTACTAACATACACAAGGTTACGTTAAACACTATATACGTGTTTTATCCTATGCACGGAGCTTTTCATTTCTTCCTCTTAACTCTACAGTGTTCCTTCCATTTAGTCAAAAATCCTTCCAGTACACTGGAGCTAAAAATAATAGGCACGCTCCGTATATCACAGAGATAGTGTCATAACAGGAACTCCAGAGTCCATAACAAATTAAATTTATCTGCTGCTAGAGCCTTCGGAAGCAAGCTCGATGCAGGTTCACCCAGCAGCCGCTACAGCTTGCCCTTGCAGCACGACCTCCGTGTTGTCCGAGTTGTCAGGGGATGTGAACAAGCAGCGTATTTACAGCTGCATTAGAAACACAGGGTTAACCGGTATTCCCAGCTAAATCCAGCCAGTTTCTATTGCTGTTAGGGGGGACTCTATACACTTCAGAGAGGGCACAGAGCAATCCTATTTACACAGCTGCAAATTTCATAACTCAGCCTGGAGGATTGACCATTTTGCAAGTGGGCATGAGGCAGAACTTTGTAATATTTAAGCTGCAGAGAATACAGAAAGTATTAAATCTGTCCCATATGTCATTCCGGTTCTTAACACTATCCAATGAAATAGGGACCCTGGAAGAAAAGCAGTCTTCCAGAATCCTGCCAGCATCCACAGAGGGAGGGAACACAGAGCTGGCCATGGAAAGGAAGCCTGTTAACAGCTGGCACTTCCACAGTTTCAAAGTCACTGTGGAAAGAGATCCTTCCTTACTATTGTACTACACAGTTCTGATGGCGGAAATCATCGTGGTTCACAGACACCACAGGACCAGTGTTTAAGAAACCTACCCAAAGCTGAAAACAGATTACCAGAAAGCTCCAAGGTACCTCACAAAGTGCAAAGTTCTGCTGCTTTTGGTTTTCCTTTTTAAACAGCAATGCCTTACCATCACCTTGCAGTAATCTACCAAGAGCTGAAACTGCTGCAGAGCTGGCAGCAATTACGCCCTTCAGCCAGAGCTGACACACAAGGTAAATGACAAGAATTGGTGTTTACTCTAGTTGTTGTGGGTTGGGTTTGGTTGTTTTATTTTGTTTGTGGTTTTCTTGTTTGGTTAGTTTTTTTCCCTTTTTTCCCCCCTCTCCCCTTTCTTTCTGACCAACACATCTTTGGTCCTAGCTGTGGTTCCGTAACACCCTGGTTTCTGAGCTGAAGTTACTGCACAAAGAGCAGAGCTTTCCTTTAACCTCTCTCCTTCAGGAACTCTGTGTGGGTAGAAGAAATGAAAATAAAGCCAAAGGATACCGAGAGCTAAAGAAGAACTCACATGCATCACTGCCTTTTGTCAGTGCCTGACCTTCTACATTTCAAGTTTGGCAAGACTGCACTTTTGTTTATGATTACCAGATCCTGGAGATCTCCTCCCAGCTGGGAAACACATGTCTCTGTGGGCCCAGAGTTTCACACAAAGCTTTTCCTGCTCAGCAGGCTCTTGGTTTTGCTCACCATTGTACTAGCTATATTACCACCAGCTGTCCTTGCTTTCAACTTGCCTGCAGCCTGACCTCATCTGCAAAGCTGACTACAGCAGAGATCTACCTGACTACATCTAGTTCTAGTTTCAATCTTGAAAGAGATGAATACAGGAAACAACCTTCAATTTGAATCTTTCAAGGAAAAGGAGAAACTCTCCTGAGTATAGCCTCCCAGAGAGGATAGATCCCAAACCTGCTGCTAAGGGGTGAGATGGGAAAGGCCTGCTGAAACACCCTGCATTAGTGGCAAAAGCAGTACATTATGGGGAAACAGAGACAATACAGCTTTTAAATTGCTGCTGTCTGCACCTATGGCCATCCTTATGAAGTGGCACGACCCACATGCTACAGAAGGGCAGGAACAAGCTGTTATCAGAACACTGTTATCAGAATCAAGAAACTTAGAGATTACTCTTCCAGACATTAAAAAAACCCAAATCCTCAATGATATTTAAGCAAAAAGAGCCCTTTATGGACCTAACTATTTTCCCAACAGAACACACTAAACCCTCTGTAATTGTTCAGATATAACAAATTTGGTTAAATACATCCTTGTCAGCACGATGTTGCAGGAGCTCCCGTGGTTATCCATGCTCAAAGCCGCCGTTTCCAACGCCATACTTGTGCAGATGAGCCATCAGCCTGACTTACCCGTGTGCAAGAGACTAATGAATGCAGAATTCGTGGAGATTCAAACACCTAGCTTAAGCCTTGTGTGTGTTTTGCTAAGACAGCACTCGAAGCCTGAAGCAGAGTGTAGGCTTAGATATGAACCTGCCTGATGTGATTTCACTGTGCAGCACCAAAAGCTGTACCTCAGGAAGGCTGCGTTGTTCTAACGTGGGAATCTGTGCCCCAACTCCCCTTTCTCCCACCCTGAAAGAGTAATTTTCAGATTCCCTGGTTTCCTATCGCTGCTCTCTGTAAGAACAATAGCAAAAAGCATTGGATTAATTCCCAAACTTCAGCCTCGGGGTTACACTGCCAATTGATGCCCATCTCCAGGCGTCGGGCTCAGGAAAGATCCCAGTGAAAGGCGCGTTCCAAATTCAAACAGCAAGACACACGCTGTTTGTATCTGGAGCACTAACGTGATCCACGAGAAGGGCTCAAAGACCAAGCAGAGACTTCGTTTACCAACACAGCAGATGATTCTGAAAACAAAATAGAAAACACATTTGCCCCTGTGCTAACTGTGCAGCAGGAAGCTCAGCCAAACTCTTTAGTGGCCTTTTTATCAGGAAGGCTCTTCTTGCTCCTACAATGATGTTCAGGAATCACTTACAGACTGCTAGCAAGCCTCAGATCTGCACGGAAAGATTTTACAGTAGTCATTTTGCCAGTGATGTTTGCAATAACTGATGTAGCCAATACTTTACACACTTCCACTATTATAAAGCTCATGGGAATGAAGACAATTCCTGCAACATTCAGCTTTCTGACTATCAGACACGGAACCTTTCTGAGTAAGAACTGGTGATTAAGTATCTGGAATTGTGCCCAACATCCTCCTTATTCTGCGCAGAAACCTGGTTTTCAGTTACACTGTTTCAAAAAGTAATTATCCAAGTAAAAGCAGAGACTATTCCTAGAAGGGGAGAAAGACAAGAAAGAAAAAAGCGTGGCAGTAGAGGCGTCTCTGGGTGTTCAGCAGAGTTGGGAAACAACCTGAGCACACCCTGCCTCAGACAAAGCAGCTTGGGACAAGAAGCTATTCTGCACTTTAATTCTGCAGCTATAAAGCTCCTGTGCTGCTGCCTGCACCCAGGACTTCAGCCTCCACGTACGAAGGGACCAGCACTAAAGATGACAATCAACACTCCACACAATGCAACACTTACATTCTTGTGATCGATGGATTCCGCAGCCTTCGTGATTTCATCCAGACACTTCCCAATGATAGGGATCACTTGGCGGTCGACCTCGGCGAAAGTTTTCATGGATTCTCCTATCCTCACGATTCTTCTTTCCTCCATCTCTTGTATTTTCTAAAACATTACATTTCAATTCAGATCAAATACCAAGATTATCTTCACAGTCTCAACCAATTTCCTCCCCAGCACACATCATCTGCTTTAAAATTTATGCTTTAAATATATTTTTAAGAACAAGCGAGGACGCTGTTCTCATGAAGGCACCAAGTGACATCATTCCCTGAAACATCACAATGCCATTCTAAAAGGAATCTCTCCTACTGTTACTGGGCATTTTTCAATTAACGTTTTATATTAAAAATATCATTTGTCAAAATCCCAGCCTTAGACTTTCGTAAGGATAGCTCCAAAGCCTTTTAAGGAATTTCTGCAACAATAAATTCTTTTATTTTCTGTCCATGTTCTGAAACATCGTATTTTCATCCCGCTGCAGAATCTAAACAAACAAAAACCTTGATGTCTCCCCTTCTCCTCTCCCCTAGAAGGTAATTTCTGGTTTCCAGGCAGTCCTATACATCATATGTTGCTCACACCAGGCCTTTTCAGCATATGATCCATGTTGCCCTGTGGATTCAGTGCCATCACCTCCAGCATCTATTCCATGGGCTCCTCGTTTACAAGAGAAGGAAACTGGATGTGGCGTAACGCTATGACGACAGACTATAACAGGATACAGAAGGGCATGAACAGCCCGTTTCAGCTCAGACTGCAGGAAGCTTAGGGAGCTTTGTCGACTGAAATACCTCAGTTGCCTTGACTGATCCACAAGCAACAAATTCTGTACAAAACAACTTAGGGCAACTTCTAAAAGAAAGCACGAGAGCTTACTGGTGTACTGGTAGTGGAAAGGATACATCTGCAGTACTTAAGCATGCTCACCTAGGAATCACAGCATTTACCAGATCTAGCATTAAATACATTGCAAATATTTCTATCTGATGCTCGGGATAATTTATCTCAAGACATTGGTCTGAAATACCATGAAGCAAAAAGGAGTTGTCCACGTAGCTAAGAAGTTGCAGCTATGGATCAGACAATGCACATTTTCTATGCCAGTATCAGCTAATGTGTCATCAGATGACAAGCATGGGACATCTTCTCCCTTAAAGAGGTTGTATTTTCCACTCCTTGATGCTTATGACCCATTACAACGGGACAGTCATTTAGAACTTCTGTTCTACTACATTCATCTCTCTTCGTTCAGTCAAGCACGAGCTCAGATCTTCACTCAGTATAAATCTGATAGATTTTTTGTTCTCTCTCTACAGCCTTTCTTTAGGCACCCTAAAACATAATCAGCAAGCTGGCTTAAACCCCCTGACATTCACTGCTGCAGGATTACTGCGGTTCAGATTTTAACATCTGTGAAGTCTGAGCTGAAGACAGGTTATAAAGGGCTGTGAGGCTTTACAGATGCAATGATGCCCAGCTGGCTCCTGCCCCAACAATGCAAATTAATGCTCTCATTCCCCAGCTGCACGGGCACAAGAGTTGAACAGAGCAAGACTGTGAGGATTCCAAAGACTATCGTAATCTGTCATGACAACACAGTGTCACCTTCCTCATCTATTACTGAACACTTGATATCTAGTCTAAGACAAAGCAATAACTTGTCCTACCAAGCTCTCCATCTCTTCTGTAGCAAGTTTTATACACAGTCTGCTAACAGCAACAAAAATCACCAAAAATGAAAAGACTGGCTCACAGAGGTGAGGCAATACGTAATACACCACCCCCCCGGTTATTGTCACAAGTTCATGAGCTCCTGCAGATCCGTGGCTGAGACCCTCACCTGGAAGATGTTCGGTATGTGCGTGTAGTAATGGTCATGCTGCTCGCTGTTGAACTTCTGTAGAGTGGAAGAATATTCCGCTTTGCTGTCTTCTGCCATCTGATGTCGCAGCTGGGCCTGCTGTCTTGCCTAGAGAAATGCCAAAAGAAATTTGTAATTCCTGCTCCACGGAAAGAAGTTGCATTGTGTTACTCCTCACCTTCCTACCCGTACCGGTAGGCAGCACAGGGACGTTAGCACACGGGGTTTGAACACTTCAGCTCTGGCTTACTCCTGTTTTGTGAAACAGTTCATCCACATCAAGCCTGCAGCGTGCACGCTGCTGATGTTCTGGTATTACCACGTGCTATTTCCATGAACCATTTCGCCTTCCATGAGTGACCTCTGCTCATACTGCCCGTACAGCAACGAATCAAGTTTGCCCTCTGCCAGCCCACTGAACAGGCAGGCACGTTGTCGGTACGCCTGTGGGCGCTCCCCTTGCTCCACCGTACGCTCTGTTGGATGGCGCTGGCTTCTTGCTATGGGCTAGTAGTGTTTTTTAGGGAAAAGGAAAGGACAAAAAAACCCCAAAGCCAACATAATCATGACAAAATATCTTCACTCGTGCTCCCGCCGTGCTCTCTGCCAAGTCCTTTCTCTACACCTCCTTGAACAGCACTGGCATGATGTGCATGAGGAAAGGGGAGCCTGAGCAGCAGCTGAGACACGACTCCCTTCTATTTTTACCCAGAGACGATTTGCTTTGTGACCCAGCACAGCAGAGCACTGGGTGATTAACCTCACTTCTTCACCTAGAACAATTTGTCCCCGAGTGACCCTTTCGTATTTTCTGATGCCTGCCCTTCCAATTCTGCTTCCCAAGGCCTTCTGTTCTCTGTTTCACTGCCCAGTATCACTCCCTTACCGTCTACTCCATCTGTTTTTTAGTTGCCCTTGCCTTCCTTGCTGTCGCCCTCATAGAGCAGCTCTTCCTTCTCCTTCCTCCCCACCCAGGCCCCGACACCCACATGCCTCTGCTCCCTGTCCCGCATTCACTCAGCTGAAGCTCCCCACTGCTCCCCCAGCCCCAGGCAGCCCCACTTCCACCCGCGGGCCGAACACTTGCTCCAGCGAGAGCTTCGCCATCGATCAGAGTGAGATTTGGCTTCGTAAATCTCAACAATCCCGAGTCTGCGCTCATTTTTCCAGCGCCCGCGGAGCCTCCTCACCCTCGGCTGCCAACCCAGCCTTGAGCAGTGCTGCGAGTGTCCAGAAAGGATCACATTCCACTCGCTTCTTCCACTTCAGAATAGCAGGAGAAAGACTGCTTTAACAATTATTTAAAGTACTTTGGGGTGTTTCAGGGAAAACACAACAAATAATTTTAGCATCTTTTCAGCGGGTTCCCATTAAAAACAGTTCAGAACAGGGTTATTCTTTGAACTGTTCCAAGCAGACAATAGTTTCCTGACAATAAATCCATGACATACCAAATCATGGAACATTTTCGCAATTGTAACTGGAAGGTAACAAATTCTGCCAGAAGGTTTCAAATCTCAATTTGCAAAGAAACAGGCTTCCCTCCCCCCGTTTGTCCAGCTTGCACATCTCACCTAATAATTTATTTCACCTCAATTCAGCTATTTCTTTTGCAAGCGCAGGCGGTTGTAGGAATTTCCTAGATCCCCTTCACATTCTTTCTACAGAAATAATTCAAGCACAACGAGAAGATGCTGGGTGCTGAGAGCACAATGGGAGACGAAACTGCAGCAGTGAATGGAATAAACTGCAACTATAACCAACCAAATAAATCCAATAAGGACAGATTTCCAACTGTGCTTGTTCCCCAGGAGTTTGAACTGTCCACTAACCCCTGTAAAGGATGCCTATGTAACTTAGAAAATCTGCCTGATGCAATGAAATTCCATGAAGCCCTACCAATCATTTTTCTGCTCTTATTAGACTTTATCATCCACACACTCATATATGGCTACATTAAATATGAGCGGAAAACAATATAGCCTTGCGCCACACACACGCTGACCAGCAAAACAAGGTCAGCCAGGGGAAGGGGGACAGCTGTAGGAGTAACGCACGCTTGGCTCCCAACCCCTTCCTCAAGGCCCAGCTGCTACAGAGCGACACCCAGTTGTGAGGCCCATTCTCTTCACCTACCCAAGAGCAGCCCATTGTCCGAGCTGACTCCGACAGCCCCAGTCCCACACACCCAGCTGTCGCCTTTATTTATTTATTGCTAACACTGCAACTCAGGAATTTGTCCCTTGACTCTATTGTGGAAGCAGAAAAACAAGAAACCCATTATTACCCCTTCCCAGGCAGATCCAGCAAGCGTTAAGGCATCGCAGTTCGTTTTCATCAGCGAGCTCGTTGGTCAGACACGAGCAAAGCAATGCTGCGCTAAATGTATACAGGAGTAGATGCTCAGTTTCCGAAACTATCTCAACTGGCCCCAAATCAGAGGAGGCAGCAGATGAGTAAGTAAAATTGGGTACATTCCAAAACCAAGAATTTTTGTATGAGCGCCCCAGTGATGTTTTGTTTCTCCTGGCCATTTAATGCATTTGGCAAGCCTCAAAGAGTTTAAATATTTTTCCAGTGAGGTATTTGAATCTTAAAGTAAGAATATAAAAAGGAGAAGAATTTTTTTTATTACTCCATTTGAAGTCACTTACTCTACCATCATCACTTCTGGTATGACCAGAGTTGCATTTTACAGCTAGGCCCCCGCACTCTGCTGAAGCGCAGAACGATAAAAGTGAGACGATGAAGTTTCTCATTCAGAGTAACTGATGCAGTGGCCTGAGCTGCACAGACTCACAGGAGCTATTTCAGCAGTAATTTATGGTTGAGCTTCACAGAAGATGAATTTCTGCCTTCTTTACTGCTCACTCGTGCATGCAAACAGCTTCAGAGAAGGTTTTTTTTGAGGGTTTCTTAGAGTTAAAATATTTGCTTTGAATAGTATTTTCAGAAGGAAAGGCTTTGCAGTAGTTGGTCCCTGGAAAACCAGACCATGACTTCAGACATAAGAGGATGATGCTGGGATGCAGCTTTCAGCCAACGTACTCTCTCCTTTAACTGGGCAGGGATGACTGAGCAAGAGCTCACGTTTCCAGTGCCGCATGTGAAACCACGATCCAGATCTACCGACTGCCAGATCGCTCAGTCGTAAGAGATGTCAAGGTACCCGTAACACAACAAAAAATTCCCTCTTGCAGGGAAAGAACGAACAAGGACACCTTTCGGCACCATGAACAAGCAGAAAAGGGTTATGTGACAGGCAGACAAGCAGTTTGCTTTCAAATGTGTGCTTCTGCACACGTTTTTGTAAAGGATGCACACATTCTGCACACACACACACCCCTCCCCAAACATGCCTTCGCCCATCGTTTTGTCCCCGGATAAACATACGCTGCGTGTACACGTATGGCCTCCTCCCCAAAGCCTGTTTTTGTCAAGGCAGTTCTCAGAACTCAAACGGCAGCACCAAAACCCAAAGGTCACCTATGCCAATGCACATCTCCTCCAGAAATGCGCTCCCAGGAATGAGCGACAGCCCAGAACCTGCAGCACCATCAACCTTGCCACGAGCGCAGCGGTAACCCTCGGGTTTCCACTGCCACGGCAATCACGCACGCAGTCACAGAGGGGTGTTTTCTACGGCTTCCTGTGACAGACTAAGCAAAAGCAGCGTACCTCTGATATACCAAGCTAGTTAAAAGCACCCTAGCAGCAGGGACAGCTTATGACCTCTTCTCTCACAGACCCGACGCAGAATTGCCATGAAACAATCAAAACCTGTCTTTTCTCCTGCCTTTGGACAGCCTTGCTAGGTGATGGGGGAGAACGCAGGGCAGTAGCTAACTGCAGGGCAGTAGTAACTTTCAAAGTGCTGATTTTTAAAAACCTGTTGAACTGCGGCCATCTTCAGCACTACTAAATAAATAAATATTTTTTTTTTAAAAAAATCAGGCCTCATCAGCACTCACCTTAGTTGAAAAACAACACTCAACTCAATGGCCAGACGAGCTGGCAACACACATTATGGCTTCTCTCTCTCCTACAAGGTAGCAGGTAAAAAACAAACATTATTCTCTCAAGATTATTTTTAACCACATTTCCTGCGGATTTTCTACCTAATCAGCGAGTTGCAAAAACCAGCCTTTTGAAGAGCATCAAAAGTTAGTTCCAGATTTTTAAATGAGTCCACGAGCAATCCAGCAACAGCAGGTTTGAGCTGAGTGATGGATACTGGGGGGCACACTGATGCCCTGAAACCTTTCCCAACTGAAGTACTTCAAGTAATTCTTTCCCCTTCAAAATAATGCAGCAGAAGAAAGTTAACCCTGCAAACTTTTTACTGTGAAGCAACCTGTGTTAGGGAGACTATTTAGTCTGAACCTCCGCATCACCTGCTTGAAAAGTCCTGCACTATGATGCAGTTGAAGTAACCCCTGCGTGTCAGAGTGAGACAGAGCAACGCGACAGGGGAAGTTACCCCTAGTCCTTGCGAACGTGCAGCAGTAGCAAAGCTCCACATACTAGTCTGAAATCAATCCTAGTACTTTATGCCTTTGACTAGCAGCCTGAAAATGCAAATTTAACAGAGAAAGGGGGTATGGTCATGTGTAGGATGGGCACTGTCAATCCTCAAGGTGTGAGAAAGTGTTAGTAAGCTGCGAGGCATTACATGCTACCCCTTAGAGAATCCAAAAAATAAGTCCTTGTATAGTGTTACTTGCACACATCTTCTCCCCCCAAAACCCAGTTCAATATGAAAGGCGACTGGTGATTAACTGTAGGGGAAATTTTTTCCAAAAACAAGCACACTTTCTGCCATTTCAGTGTCCAATACAGAGAAGAATGAAGGATATTTTGCTGAGAACAATTTTCTAAGACGCATTCCAGAAACAGCAAGAGGGTCAATAGACACACTGTCTTCTGGGTTTACACAGACAAAAAACGCAGCTCCTCAAGGCTGTTATGGTGGGAGTGATATGAATAACTGAAAAGGGCAGAAAAAAGCTTTGGCTGCTGTTCAGCTGATCCACACGAAGTGGAACAGTTCAACTTCTCAGCAGTCACTCTTGTCCAGAATGGCAGTTTCCAGTCAAAACTTTGGTGTA